ACAGCCGCGCTTCCGCGGAGAAGCGGGATAACAGCGAGCCCGCCCGCGGCCCGGCCGGCGGCACGAACCTGCCACAGCAGCAGAGCAGGCTGCAGGCCGAGCCGCTGCCCCTGCGGAACTTGCCGGACGTGGGGCTGTCGTGGCACTGCGCGATGTAGGCCTGGAGCTCGCTCTCCTCGGCGCCCGCACTGCCGGGGTGCTGGGGACACGGAGCAGGCCCGCGCGCGTGAGTGGGGCTCCCCAGAGGCCCGTCCCCGGGGTCCCAGCTGCACCTGCAGTGCCCCCACTCCTCCTGTGGGCCCCACTGCGCCGGCCCTAAGTGCGGGCACACCCCCCACAGGGCCAGATGCCTGCTGGGTTGGGGTGCACAGGGGCCCCGACACACCAGGCTGCTCCGTGTATGGCTGTCAGGTGCCACAGCAGGACCCAGGCTCCTCCCGGAGGTGCCAGCCTGTGCCTCCAGCCGGAGGCTGGTTTCCAGCCAGCCCCTCCCCGCCAAGCTTGGGGGCCACCGTGTCTTCCTCAAGCCCTTTCTGGCTACCGAGCTGTTGCTCTGAAGCAACAGCCCCGTGGGTTCCCCTCTCTTCCATCTAGAACCTTCTGAGATGACAGAAAGGCCTCATCTCTCTGCTGCCCCACAGGTGGGTGTGTGAATGGGGACTTGAGTTTGAAACTGCATTTCACTTGCATTAAAATGAAAATGTAAATAGTCCTGGCACTAGAGACTAGAATAAGCGCTCTCTAGACACTTTCGGGACTCACCCCCATACCTTTAGACCGGGGGCCCTCTGTGACCTGCCATGCTGCCCCATACTGCCCACAGCCGTCTTCACATCTCCCGTCTTGCCCGCTGGCTGGGACAGACTCCCGGTCACCTAAGCGCCTGCCCCGCTCACGCCCGCTAGCATCCCCTGGACCTGCCGCCTCAGCACCGGCTCTGCCTCGGCCCTCTCCCGGCCCGGCTCCCTGGACCCAGAGGCCACCGCAGAGGCCCAGGAGCGGGGTTTCCAGAAGCAGCGCCTGTCTGCAGGCGCACTACCGGGCTTGCTTTCCTGCTGGCAAAAGCAGAGGCAGGTGCCCCACCAGGAAGCGGGGAGCCCCCGCCACGCAAACAAAGCGGCCGCCACGGCAGTGTACTGATCCTGCGTGGCCCGGGCTCTGAAAAGCGCTCCCCTGGGCTCGCGGTGCCCACATGCTCCCCTGCGGGTCTCCCTCGCCCGGCGTGTCCCCAGGGCCCCACTACGCCGAGGCGAGGCCCGCGGGAGCGGCACGCTGACCTTGATGGTGTCGTAGGCGCCCGTGATGAGGGCGATGAAGAGGCTGAGCACCATGTAGATGAAGAGGCTGATGAAGGAGTAGAGGTAGAGCTGGGAGAAGAGCCAGACCAGGCTGCTGCGGCCCTGCTGGGCCTGCATGGCGGCGAACGTCACGAACATGTCGTCTCCGTTGATGAGCGAGAACAGGCACTCGGACACCATGGACAGAGAGCGGAACTGCCGTGGGCGGGCGGCCAGTCAGCGGGGTCGTGGGCGGAGGGCGCCGCGCGCAGGCCTGGTGGCGGGGTGGGGCAGTCGGGGCCACGGGCACAGAGGACAGACACAGGCGGCTCTCATGGGGCCACGGGGCTCCCGCAGTCTCGGGAGCGGCAGGGCCGGGTGTTGGGGCAGCGTGCGGGCTGCTGCTGACCTGCTGCCGCGGTGTCAGGGCGAGGTGGGCGGCTCAGGGTCGCCAGCGCCACGCAGCTGCCACGGGCTTAGGGAGGGGACGCGGGGAAGACGCCAGCGCCCCGTCTGCGGGGACGGCAGCCCTACCTTCACGTGGTACGGCCCCAGCACGATCCAGCCGCAGAAGCAGTAGCCCAGGTAGATGACGGCCACGCAGCAGCAGAAGCGCATGACGCTGGGCAGGGCCACCCGCAGGGTGGCGATGAGGATCTGCGGGCAGGCCAAGGCCAGGGGTGACCACAGAAGCTGGCGGGAGCCCAGCAGGGGCAGGGAGCGGAGGGGACCCTGGGGCACCCCTCGGCTGGGTGGGTGTGGGGGGCGGCTCCCTCGGCCCCGCCCAGGCACAGGGACCCGGGTGGCAGGGCCCAGTGACAGCCACCCACAACAGGACCTTCTGGGGGCAGGGGCGCCTCGCGGGCCACCTGCCGGGCGAGCATGAGCCCACTTGGGGGCGGGGGGCCGGGGAGCACCTCGCCACCACCCAGGAGGCCCGGCCTGTGCCTGCGAGCTCACGTTGTACTTGTGGAAGAAGGTCAGGTAGCGGATCACACCGACCCAGACGAGCAGCGTGGAGGTGCCCAGGAGGATGCTGCAGACGTCGTAGCTCGCCAGGTTCTGGGGGCGGGAGCGGCGTCAGCCCACCGGCCGGTTCCTGAGGCCTGTCCCGGGCAGGCAGCGGTGAGGGCAGGGCCGGGCAAGCAGGGCTGGTATGGCCGGGCACAACCCACCTTGGCCTCGATGCCAATCTTCATGACGGTGCCCGAGATGGTCAGCACGTCACTGGTGACCAGGAGGATGTACCAGCCGTTGACAAATTCTAGCCGTTTCCACAGGCTGATGATCCGTCCCTGGTGCCGCCGCATGAATCTGACAAACTCCTGCGGGAGCAGGCAGGGCGATGGGCCCGTGCAGACCCCACGGCCCTGCCCCAGAGTGGGTGGCTGCATCAGGGCTCACGTTCTGCAGCAGGAAGCCGCGGAGCAGCGAGCGGGCGCACAGCAGGAAGGACGCCGTGCAGGTGAGGATCACCACCACGTCAAACAGCAGCCGGAAGCTGTTGTCTCCTGTGGGGAGGGCGCAGGAGGTCCGGAGTGGGCGACTGGATGGCCCCAGGGCCTGCAGGGCGGGTTCGGGCTGGTCAGCGGACTGGTGGGGTGGCCGGGAGAGTCGGGAACCTGTCGGCTCTCATCCGGTCCTTTGGGGAGCCGCCATAGGTCAGGGTCCCTGAGCCGGGACCTGGGCTGACCTGGGCAGGCGAGGACCCCAGGCTGCACTGGTCTGGGCTTGGGGACGCCCAAGCAGGTGAGGGTCCCTGGGCAGGGCCACGCGGCTCTGGGGCTCACCGTGCCGGAAGACGCTGGGATGCTTACACTCCTGGATGTGGGCCTGGGTCTCCAGCCTGATGGGGACTCGCCCGCTATGCGCCTTGTTGTCAAACGTGATCTGCGGGGCAGCGGGGCAGAAGCTCCCAGATCCGTAGACCCATCAGGGGCCCAGTCCCCCTTCGCCCTAAGGCCCGCCAGCTGCCCCGCCCCCACGGCCCCGGGGCCGCACCAGGACACGGAAGGTGTAGCAGTCTGGGATCTCGTTGTTGATCAGGCTCTGGAGGTTGATGGTCTTCAGCTGGAAGTGGATGGTGACGTTGATGAGCCTGTCGGGGTGAGGGGGTGAGGGCTGTGCCGCCCTTCCCGCCTGCAGGGCCAGGCCACACTGCCCCCGCAGCTGACAGAGAGGGCTCACGCGCAGCGCCCCCCGGCAAGGCGGCCCCCCCACCCTGCCCCTGCTGTACTTGTGAAATTTGAGTGTGAGGTTCCTGTAGCTGGCGCTGCCTTCCGAGACGGAGAGGTCGCTGGGGGGCGGGAGGGGCCTCTCGGGCGGGTCCACATGGATGCAGTCTGAGGACAGGCGGTTAGGGAGGGCAGGAGGGGTGGGCAGGCCCAGGTCTCCCCCTCATCCCCCAGATTCCCCTCTCCCCTTATACCCACACGTTTGCCCCCATGGCCCCGCCCCAGCCGGTCCAGCCCCCCATTCCCCACGCAGACACCAGTGCCTAAAGCGCAGGCCCCGCTCCGTGAGGCCAGTGCACCCCTCTGCAGCCCGCATGGGTGCTCCTGTGTCTCGCAGCAGCAGCTGATGCCCGCTGACCGCTGCTGGGCTCAGGTCGTGTGTCGGGGGCACCCCACGGGGCCCCTTCCCACGGGGAATGCGCTCACCAGCCAGTAGCTTTAACTCGCCTAAAACCTAACACCCAGGTCCTTCTGCAGCAAGACTTCCCTAAGCATGGCTGACCCTGAGCTTCTAAGGATCCTGACGGCCTCCTCCCGGCCCGCTTCCAGCGAGCCAAGGTTTAGCGCCGCGGCCGCAGCCCCGGCAGCCGAGCCCCACCCTGTCCACTCACCAGTCACAACCATGGGGTCGATGTCGAAGGTGTCGTTCGCTGGGTCCACGTGGCCCCGGTGGTAGTAGTGCTGGCAGAGCGCCAGGGCCGAGCCGTTGGCCCAGGGGCCGCCCCCGCCCCGCACGTATGCGTAGCGGCCCAGGGACACGTCGGGGAGCAGCAGGTACTGCGGCAGGAGGAGGAGCCGTGAGCCCGCCGCCCCGTCCCCGGGCGCCCCCCCCCACCCCGGGCATCACACCTGGTCCACGGCGTGGAAGATGGCCTGGTACAGCTGCTCCCGCGTGTAGGCTGCCAGGGTGTCGTCCGCCCCATCCGAGTAGCCCAGCAGGAAGAGGTGCCGGAAGGCGACGGTGTTCTCCTCCCGGAAAGTGACCGCCAGCTGGTTGCTGAGCCCGAAGAGGATGAGCTGCCAGGAGGGACAGGGGGCGTCGGCACTGCCAGAATGGGGCTCCCCTCAGTGCATGCACAAGTGGTGGGCGGGGGAGGGGCCGCTCGTGAAGCGCACGTCCTGCCCACCAGGCCCACTGCACCCCCCTCTGCAGCCCGCATGGGCGCTCCTGTGTCTCGCAGCAGCGGCTGATGCCCACTGACCGCTGCCGGTCTCAGGTCACGTGTCAGCCCCAGACCTTCAGGGGAACCCCACAGGGCCCCTTCCCACGGTGAATGCGCTTGCAAGCCCACTACACCGGAAATTCCTTAGGGCAGGGTTTAGGGTCCTGATATCTCGGTGCCTGGCGTGGGGTGGGGGCCACCATGTTTCTAGACACTTGGCACCTCTCTCTGAGCGTCAAAAAGGCACCTCAGATTGCTGGGTTCAGTGCGCCAGCTCTGACGTCCAGCGCTGTGGGGCTTCGGCCAGGCCCGCCACCTCACTGAACCTCAGTTGCCTCACTTATGACGCAGGGACCAGAGTGATTTCCAGAGCTTCAGAGGGTGCCTGTGAGGCAAAGGCACTGCTGCCCGAAGCCCGAGGCCGTCCGAGGTCACTACTCCCTTCTGCTGCCCGGCCAAGGCCGGCCCTGCCCCCAAGACACCTTCATGACCAGCAGCCACAGGTGGCGTCCTGTGGGCCCCAGGTCTCACCTGCACGGTCACCACCAAGATCTTCACCACCTGCAGCATCAGCTTGAAGGGCTTGCGGCCCTTGGCCCGGAACTTGTCGCAGGGACTCATGAAGAAGTACTTGAGGCGGCGGCGGAGATCTTCCTCTTCTGCTGGCGTGACAGGAGCCGGGGGGGCCCCCGCCTGGGTCCCGTACCCAGGACTAGGGGTCAGGAGACGCTCTGTCTCTGTGGACATGAAGAGGGCAGAGGGTCTGAGCCCGCCTGAACGCATGCCAGCAGAGGAGGCAACATCTGCCCCAAGGAGAATTCAGAGGGATTCAAGAGAAACAAAACGGCAACTTTTTTTGGTATCTGCAACAGCCTGCTAGAAGTTACAAGCCAGGGCCGGACTACGGGTTCTCGGTTCCTCCCTCCCCAGCTCTGGCCAGATACTCTGCTTCCTCCTCTGCAACATGATCTCGCCAGAAGCTGAGGATTTGCCGCAAGGGCAGCATTTACCAAAGCCGGTAAGGATGGCAGGACGCTCCGCTGTCCCTGTTGGTGGTTAGTGGGGGACGAGCTGCTTCTGCTGGCTTCACAGGGCCTCAGGGCTTCCTGCTCATCTTCATGCCAGTGGCGTTCAAGTCAGCCACGTTCCAATTTGTTCTTGCCTTTGACAACATCCCAAAGCTAACCTTCCCCCTTAGCTTGACCTGACTGTCCTGCTGACAAGCTGGAGAAGAGGAGATGGACAACAGTGACAAGGAAGCACACTGGACGCTCCTGGAGCGCCAGCAGGTGTTCTCGCACTGCGAGCTGACACGCTGATCCGGCACTTTCCTTGCAGGCATCACACCTGCCACACTCTGGTCAGGCGCCTCCAGGCAACTCTAAGACCCAGTCTCTTCGTCTGCAGAGCAGAATGAGAGAAGGCCGCCCAGGCTGAAGCTCTGAGGGCTCTCTGAGGACTAAGTGAGACAAAGCAGCCGGGCCCAGCATCCGTGGCTGTTTAGCACAGGCTACTTTAAGCACTTCTTGTTGTCTTCACCCCTAGCCAGCCTGAAGGGAAGAGCGGGGGGTTTAGCAACTGACACTCCCCCACTGGGAGAAGCCCAGCTCGCCCCAAGGCCTGCCAGGGCCACCTGGATGAGTGTGGACACGGTCAGAACCTGTCCCGCAGGGAGGAGCCTGGGAACTTGATGCTGCTGCAGTTGTTTACAAGACATCTGGGTGGAAGCCAGAGGACAAGTCCTGGCTCCTTAGGTGGGGTCGCAGTGAAGCCACTCACACTCCTCCAGCGGGGCGCCTTTGAGGCGGCACAAAGGGTGTCCCCACACTCTCTCATGACGGGTGGAGACTGAAGACAGGGAAATGAGGCATCCCCCCGGGGGCTCGGGAAAGTTGAGC